GGCATGAGTTTAAGTCACTGGGTCCGGGACTCGCCATGGTTGACTACATGGGAGTCCAGCAACATAGCTATTATGCTAACTGCTGGTCCCTCAGTTAAGGCTCTTCAGGTGAGGGTTTATTCTGGATTATCTGAAAAGTTTTAGTGTAAACACAAGAGTCTTTATTTCTTTAAGTAAAATTTTTTTAAATTTATTTTTTATTTATAGGTTTTTGCTATAGGACGCATGCGCTTGTCAGGAAGACAGAGAGAGAGACATAGAGACTGAAAGCGAGAAATCACCCCCCGGGGGGATGGTCACGCTGCAATCCCTTCTCCTCCATTCTCCTCTTGGGATCTTGGGCACGTACGCACACACACACACACTCGGCGTGAGTTTAAGCCACCAAGTCCAGGACTTGAACCATGGTCGACTACATGGGAGTCCAGTGACATAGTCATTTCACCAACTGCTGGTCCCTAATTTTAAAAATTTTTATATAGTTTGCTATAGGGCATGTGTTCTTGCCAGGGAGAGACAGAGAGGGGGAAAGTGAGAAAGCACCCTCCAGGAAGGATGGCCAAGTGGCAAACCCTTCTCCATCCTCCTTTCAGGATTTTGAGCTGGGACACTCACACGCCTTGCACGTTTATCAGGCCACTGTGTCTGGACTCAAACTTTGCAGTCAACCATGTAGGATCCAGCAGCTGTAACCTCCACACCACTTGCTAGCCCTCCACGAGGGTCTTTAGAAGTGAAAGAGGCAGGCAGGAGAGTCAGAGTCCGAGAAAGATTTGAAGAAGCGCTGCTGCTGGATTTGCCGATGAAGGTAGGGGCCGTGAGCCAAGGAATTCAGGGAGCCTCCAGAAGCTGGAAAAGTCAGGAGGATGCATTCTCCCCCGGAGCCTCCCGAAGGAGCACAGCCCTTGCCAACATCTCAATTTTAGTCCAGTGAACCCCATTCCAGACTTCTGACCTCCAGGACGGTGAGTCAATAAAGCTGCATTATTTTAAGCCACTAGGTTGGTGGTAATTTGTTACAACAGCCATGGGAAATCAACACTCGTTAACTTAATTGTTTATGTGACATGGGAAAAGAATACCTTCCTTTGGATGTGATGGGAACACTCTGGTACAACATAAGAATAAAACAGCGTCCCCATTCATTTTGTTTTTCAGTAGCTGTCATTTGTCATTTCATCACTGCCCACTTTAAGCCAGGACCTGTGCTTGTCACGGATATACTGTCAAGAGCCTTCTGAGGTAGGCATGGTTTTGCACTCTTTAGAGGAGGACCCCCTGGCTCCGAATAGTAAAGTAACTTCCCCAAAGCTACACATACAGAACTATAGGTGGAGAGAAAGGTACAAATTTAGCGTTAGCGCATTCCGAAGCTCTTGCTGTTTCCTCCGACCCTCCTCTCTGCCCCTTCTCAGAGAACCTGTTATAAGCCACCGTTCTTCAGCCCCACCTGATTCCCAGACACCTGTGGTTAGACTGACTTTCTGTCAGAATCGTGAGCCTTCCTGAGGATTCTTGCTATTGTGGGCAGCCAGGCGCAGCTGGAACTGCTGTTTGGAAAGCTCTTTGGGTTGCAGGTAAGGTTTGGGGTGCAAGTTCTTCAGCCAGTGGCATCAGTGGAAATTATTATTCTTTTTTTTCCTTTTTTTTTTTTTTGAGAGATTTTTCACTATAGGGCGCGTGTGCTCGCCAGACAGACAGAGAGAGACAAAGAGACAGAAAGCGAGAAATCACCCCCCAGAGGGGATGGCCACGTCGCAATCCCTTCTCCTCCATTCTCCTCTCCGGATCTTGGGCATGCACGCACACGTGCCCGGCATGGGTTTTAAGCCACCGAGTCCAGGACGCGAACCGTGGTCAACTACGTGGGAGTCCAGCGACATAGCCATTACGCTAACTGCTGGTTTCCCCCCCTTTTTTTTGAGAGGTTTTTGCTATAGGGCATGCATGCACTTGCCAGAAAGACAGAGAGAGACAGAGGGACAGAAAGTGAGAAATCACCCCCCAGGGACGATGGCCATGCCTCTCAATCCCTTCTCCTCCATTCTCCTCTCAGCATCTTGGGCATGCATGCACATGCGCCTGGCATGAGTTTAAGCCTTCGAGACTCGAACCGCGGTCGGCTGCATGGGAGTTCAGTGACATAGCCATTACGCTAACTGCTGGTCCCTCAGTGGAAATTATTTGCAAACTGGACTGAGGCTCAGTAAATGCATAGAGTTGTGTGTTGCTTTAGAGGATAAAATGTCACTTGCAAATCCGAGAGCAGGGAGACTCAAGCTCCCGCTGTCCAGGCAAGACTAGGACCTCCACCCTGTGCTAGCTACACAGAAGCCCCATTGCCCTTCTGAAGGGTAAGGAAGGCCCCAGGGAATGACCTGGCTGACATGTCCTTTGCCTGGGTTCACTGGTTCTCAACCCTAGCTGCCCATTCCAATCACCTCAGAAGCTTGAACCACGTATCCATGACCAAGTTCCAGCCCCAATGACCAGACCCCACTCTGTGCTGGCAGGGTCTGGGCCTGCTGCCAAGGAGAGCGCTTTTCTGGCATCCAGCATCACTGACTGCAGGACCACGTGAGGTCCGGAGCCCAGTGCACCCTTGGAAGAGCTCATGAGGCTCTCATGCATAGGACACTGCCTGGCTGGGCAAGCACATCAGATCTCTCCCTGGGGGTACCTGTCAGGGGGTGCCTGTCAGGCATCCCAGTTTACCCAGCACTCTGGTGGGAGTGTGGGGTGGTGGTGGTATATGCTGCCAGGAGGTGAGGCTTTAAGTGTTAAAATCAGGAAAATTCCAGGCATTTTGACAGGGAATTGTACGTCTAAAGTCCCTAGGAGTAAACTCTCATGGTTGGGTGATAGGATTCTGGCAACAGAGAAGGGCGTGTGTGTGTGTGTGTGTGTGTGTGTGTGCACGCTAGATGGGTATCAATACATGTGTGCCTGGGTGCGTGAGAGAGTATGTGAGAGTCTGCATGAGTATTGGATGAATGTGTGCATGGCAGTTGTGCATTAGGTGTGGGAATGTGTGCAAATGTTGGGGGGAGTGTAGGCATTCTGGGTCAGCAGGCCTTGCCAGCCTAGAATGGCCTGGCTGCAGTGGCCTTTACAGCATCTGAGGTCCATACCATCCAAGCTGGCTCTGAATCCCACCAGAGAGCCGCAATCAGAGGGGGCATGCCCTTTGTGGCTCCAGCTCCGGGCAGAAGCTGTGCATTTACTTCTCTCTGCTCTGAGGAATGAAAAGACACTGTGCTCTGACAGCTGTGGGAGCTGCCTTCCTGCCTGGATAAATCTAGTCACCACCGATATCGTTACACCTGTTTAAACAAGGAACGGAATAGGTATTTATTTGAAGTTCAAGAGGCCATGTAAGCCCTGGCCTAAATATAGACCTGGTTATAATTAAGAAGATACTTCATTCTTTCTTCTGAAAGACTGCAACCCAGGGCTCCCTCAAAGACTTGGGTAGTTTCCTTGGACACATACCTCCCAGGATGAGTAATGGCGTGGATGAGAATGCCTCCTGGAGTGTGGCATGTGAGGCAGGGCCACGTAGAGCCCCAGAGCAGTGACTCCTAGACTTCGCTGGTGGTTAGACCCACTGAGTGGAGGAGGAGACTTGATACAGACGTAGAGCTCCAAGCCTCCTCCTAGTGATTGCCATCCATTGCTCTTGGAATGGAGCCCAGGAATCTGTATTTTTAAAGCTCCCCAGATGATTCTAATAATTACCAAAGTTTGGGAACCTCTGACCTACAGCATGGGAGTGAGGAAAGGGGAGAGAGCAGTCTTTCCCAGAAACCGGAGGCATTTCTGGGACCAGGTCACGGGTACTAATGAGTTGGCATTCCCTGAGCACTCCTCACATGCTGGCACCTGTCATTACTCCCAGTTTGCAGATGAAACAACTGAGTTCTTTCATTTTTCTTCAGAGAACAGAGTTCACCCTATTTTTGAGGTCATAGACCTTTCTGAGACTCTAATGAAAGTTTTAAATCTTCTAACCCCAAATCCGTACATGCACAGAAGATTTTGCACAATTTCAGAGGGTTCACAGAGCCTCCTAAAGTCCATTCAAATCTTCAATTAAGAATGACCATCCTGGGAACCAGCAGTTAGCGTAATGGCTATGTCGCTGGACTCCCACGTAGTCAACCGTAGTTCGCGTCCTGGACCTGGTGGCTTAAAACTCACGCCGGGCGTGTGTGCGTGCGTGCCCAAGATCCCGAGAGGAGAATGGGGGAGAAGGGATTGCGGCGTGACCATCCCCCCTGGGGGGTGATTTCTCGCTTTCTGTCTCTATGTCTCTCTCTCTCTGGCGA